ACCTGGCGGGTACCAGAAGCTAAAAACAAGTGTCAATGACAACAGAAAAATAAGCTGATTAGAAGAGAAAATTTGGTCTTTTTTTTTTTTTCAAATGTACAACCCACATACTCCACTCTGCTGCTCATCCCACAAATGCATGTTCCTTACGAATGTGGCACCATTTAAAAAAGTGAAATGAACAAAGAAATCTACCAAACACAAATTTCCATCCATCCATCCATCCATTTTCTGTACACGCTTCTTCCTTTTCAGGGTCGCGTGGGTCACTGGTGCCCATATCCCACAAATTTCCTTACTTTCTTTTTTCAAAGTTTATGTACAAACATGACAGATCTGTTGGCGTGTGTTGGGAGTGACTCTCAGCTGCTGYCACATAAAGGGTTTAGCTCAACATTTGTCAAACTCATATTGAATTGGAATGGCTCCAAAAATGAATCAGTAATGGTTACTTTCTGAAAGTTCTATTAAAATCTGATAATTCATGGGAAATTTTGCTAACAGACATGGTTGATGCCAACAGTTTATGCAGTTTTAGGCTAAATACTGTAGAATGTGCAGCACTCAAAGTTTGTTAGGGATGATGTTCAGCTACCAGCATGTTTTATCTGARCCACTGAAATGTTGTTTGCTWAGGTTAATTAGCTGTGGCAGCCAACTTGAATCGACTCCAAACGTTAATGAKTAATAATTATTTGATTTACATCCAGTGATTATTGTCCGAGTTAAATAAACATCAACAGACTAGAATACAAAACGAGAAATTTATGCAAAGATTCCAGATGTTTCTGCAGAAAGTGGAAAGAGTCAGATGGTTTAAGTTAATTTGGTGACACTTGTCGGTGCTTAATTAAAAGGGAATAAAAAAATAACCTTTACATGAAGCAAAGAATTTAAAAAATATTATGCACAAGCTAATTTTGTCCTAACATGTAAACATACAAATATGAGATTGAAATAAATTCAGCTTCACCCTTTCTGAAACAAAAAGTGTCTTAAAATCATCAGAAAACTATTAAAGATGAGGAAACTAACGAATTTGCAAAAGAAAAAAAAAAGACAATTTACCTGAAGGAATTTATTATTTTTGTTCAATCTACAATGAGCTTAAAACTCAAACATGATCAAAGGCTATGACAAAAAAAAAAAGGTTAAAACAGGAGTAGGACGTTGACTTTACAGCTGCTTTCATCAACCTTCCTATTGCAAGTGAAACAGAGTRGAATAAAATGAAATGCTCATTCACATTAAATGTTACATTACGTCATCCTAAATCATTATACAATTAAAACCTGCCTACACTGTAACAGTTTGGTGATTTCACCCCCCATTTTTTTTTTTGGCAAAGTTGGTATCGCACACACCCCATTACTAGGAGGCAAGACAATTTCCATCCACTGACTAATTACATTATAACATTATGTTCAAGTAACAGGTATGGGTGTAAGAATTTGCTAAAATACTTTAAAATCAGATGTTAGAGCTGTGCRGAGATTGGAAGGATGCGTCGCAATGCAAAGGGTAAAAATCACGTTTACACTGATGAAAAGAAAAAAAAACTCCCTGATAGAGGCTGAAGTAAATATTCACATTCTGCTTGCTGAAGTAAATATGGACATGGTTGTAAGATTTTCCCCTTTGCCTGCCCAGACATCCTCTCACAGCAATTTAACAAAGTCCAGTTTAAAATATTCACCCAGACAGCATCCATGGTTGAGTCTGATACACACACACACTCACTCACACACACATTTTCTTGAAAGGCGCGTGGGTGTTAAGGATTTCATTTGATTTAATTTGTCTAATAAAATATAGAATTCATTAATAATACATGGGAGAGCTAAAATACATACTGAGTGGAAAAAAATAATAATTAAATGATACAAAGCATTTTTTGTTTTTGCGTAACACAGCTATAGGACCACAGAGTTGTCAGGTTTTGTCCCTGAGGAGGGACGGAGACAAAAGTCAAGGAGTCTTCAGATGACAGGAACTTTACCATGACGCTGTGTCATGGGTATATTTCAGCCCCGTTACCTGATCTCAGATCAGATCTTCATACTATCCACAACACCATTCTGTGTGGAATGGCCTCATCTCCTTTCACCAGCTTGCTTCCATTGATTTTCTCCACAAACGCTTAAAATTCCTTGTTGGTTCTGGCCATCAAGCAAAATTTATGAAAGCTAAAAACTCAATAAAAAAAAGATAAATAAACTGGGATTTTAAAATTCATAGTCTTCGTCTGCCATGTCAATGGCCCAAGCAAACTTCTCACGCTGGGTTTTGTTGTAGATCTTCTCGACAGGAATGCCCCACTTTTTACACCTACAGGACCAAACAATGTCAACAATTTTAAACCAAGAATGAAAATTTCACAGATACAACATGTTTATAACGTTTAAAGTTTCCATCTTACCAAGCCACAGAAATGCGCGGGTCCAGATAATTGAGTTTGGAAGTGCCAAGAGCAATCTGCTTGTTCTCTTCACGATCAGTCGCCTGGACCTCCAGCTTCATCAGCTGCTCCTCTATCCTCTGAACGGCCTTCCTCTTGCTCTCCACAGCTCTGGAAACATTAAAACGTTAGTATTCAGGATGACTACAACTAGAATTGTATTTCTCTAAAACACATCAATACACACTTTCTGGATTTTTCATCTCTGTGTACTTTGGCGTCAGCCTTGGCACTCTTCAAGTCTCTTCTGGCATCAGAAAGCTGGTCCTTTTTAGCATCAATCTAAAAATAAAAAGAAAAGAGTTTAAATACACGCCTAGCTCCGGGAGTTTTGTTTTTTATTTTAGGTAGCATTACAAAAATTATCTTCTTAATTCAAGGTGTTAAAGTACAAACACAGTCAGCCATTGTGTTGCGTTCACACTGAACGTGATTTGGACCAGCACTTTGAGGTCAGACTCATCAAGAGCCTCCTGTGCCGGTCTCTGTTTAAGCTCTCTGACACACGTCCACCACACACTTTGCATGTAAACCTGACGCTCTAAACGCAGCATTAAAGACACTCTCCACAATGATCCAGTCCATTTTATCAAATGTGAATTAGAAGAAAAAACAAACTTTACAGGTAAGGCTTTCTTTTATGGTACCCTTATTAACATGTAATTACAAGGTAATAAAACATTGTAATTAAATGTAATTACTACCTTATTACCATGTAAATATGATATAAAAGAAAAACTACTGTTAATAAAACTGCCTTTACTGGGTAACTACAATCAAATTACTATTCAATAGTAACTCAACACTATATTTATAACCAAAAGAATGCAACTAAATTTTGGGGTTAGTGGTTAATTGCAATAAACTATAACTTTAAAACTGTGCAAATTACCCACTACTTATTTACATAGTGTATTGTAATACATTTCACCAGGTAAGTGCTACATTACTGCAGACATTTAATTACATAGTAAAATTGTACCCTAATTACCACGTAATTACATAGTAATAAGGGTACCGTAAAAGAAAGCGTTACCACTTTACCTTGGTCTGCAGGTTCTGCATAGACTTCTCAAAGGTCTTGGGTGGAGCTCTCTGATGGTTACAGAGGATGGCCACTGCCCTGTTGGCCCGGTTGTAGGACAAGATCTTGGCTGGAATGTTTTCATCCGCTGGTGGGACCGAGGACAAACACATCAAATAAACAAAACTAAACTAAAATAATCACAGTTACAGTTTAGTTCATTCCTCGTTTTGGTTTGAAGCAGGTAACTTTGATACGTACCGGTTGTGAGCTCCTTCAGTTGTTGCTGCAGGGTGATCGAAGCATTGTACGTACGGAACACTTTAGCTGTAAGACCGTCCATCAGCTCCTGAAGATGTTTGTTCAGGATAGAAGTCTGGAAGAAKAAGAGAAATCCAATCATATGAAAGAGAGAGGGACACAGTCAAGGTGTATTAACATGCCAACTTGTATCAGTGAAACCCTTTGACTTACGTTGAGACGATCAAACAGGTCATCATCAGGTTCTTTGTTTTCCATGAACAGCTGAAGGTTCTTAAACACCTATAAAACAAATAAAGCTCATTTAACACAGTGTAAAACACTAACTCTCTCATGGCAGAAGCRTACTGGTCCTCACCCTTTTCTCCACAGGGACTCTGTTGTAGTAACGGATGGAGTCTTTACCCAGGAAGTCAAACTCCACCACGAACTCCTGACCTTCACTTTCTGGATASAGTTTGATGTGTTCGACTCTGAGCGAGCAGCAGCCCACAGTGTCTGCTGTTTCTCCTTCCTCCTTTTCATTGCCTGCTCTCAGAGCCAGCTGGTGGACACACAGTTGGTTTAATGAGGCCAGTACTTAAGCCCCTCCCTCACCCATAATATTCTCAATCCTCACCTTGTCAATGAAGTAGAGAGCCACAGCCCGCTGTCTGATCCTCATCTCCTTGGACTTCCAGTCCTCGCGATACTGCGCTCTGATCTTATCCACGCATTTCTTCAATCGACGAGCCGTTTCATACTTCTGCCAATCTTTCTCTCCCTGCAGGTAAAAAAATTTATAAAAATATAAAAAAGGTAACCTGAGACGAGTCCAGGTTTGTGTAAATCATAAACACAATCCAACTCWACTTATGGATTGATATTCTGACATAAAGTGCAGTACATTTCTGTTTTTTACCATTTCATTGAAACAAAAAGGGTTTTAAAATGTGATCACATGGAAAAACAAGTGTTGAGCCCTTCAGCACACCTTGATTCTGGAGCTGGGGTTCAGCATTATGTACTTGATGGAGCCTTGAATGTTTTCAGTCCATGACACCAGCCATGTCACTTTGTTGTCGTGACGAACTTCTTTCCATTTGTGGCCCTTTGGAGGCTCGGGGCACTTTGAGTCTCTAAATCGAACACACCCAAAAAGGTTTTGTATCATTTACAACACGCTTGTTTCATCAGATCATTTGACACTTGGGTCTGAAAACCTCTCAGCTCACTTGCTGCAGTTGATGATGATGTCTTCAGGCCTAATGCGACGTTTCAGCATTCCCATTTTTGGATGATCTCCTCGTCCACGAAACAGGCCAGGGGGCTCGATACGGAAGTTAGCAATACGTTCTTTGTGGTTGTCCATGAGGCAGAAACCATACTCCTGCAAGGTGCGCTCATTTTGTTCTTTTATTTTCTAGAAAAGTAGGGGGAAAAAAGGGAAATAGTTTTAGGGGTTTGATTTGATTAAGYACTTAAATACTTCTCAAAAGTATTTCATTTGGTGGTCCGTTAACTTCAAGTTATTCAGCAGATTCAGTGGACTTCCTGATTTATTCAGATAAAGTGACAAAAATGTGTGGAATYAGGAAAGACTTAATGGGTTTAAGGTGAAGCCTGTTGAAACACTCAGAGCTTAAGCACTAAAAGACATCACAACTCAGAAATCAGCTTTAGGCTGTGACTCAATGCAGCCCACGTAGACCACACCCTACGTGGGCTGCAGGCCACCAGTGTAGGCTACATAAAAGGCTGTGAAATGAGAGTCTATGGATGATGTAGGTTTATATCATCAGCCATGTAGGATACTATGTTTTTGGGGTTTTGTCGGCCACATGAGTAGGTGCCCATGAACTGGGACAGCCTACAGCGCACAGCAGTGACATAAGTGGCCAAAAATGTGCCCTACAYTGGCTGCAACTCCTGAGTTGAGGCACATCCTTAGACAGTTTCATCAGTCAAAGGTCTACAGAGTCTTAAAGCACKTTGACTAACCTGTTTCTCCTCTTTGGTCATGGCTTTTCTGGCTTCAGACTGTGCCTTGAAGTACTCRCTCATCTCACTGAAGTTGCACTTTTTCAGGTCGGTTATTTTTGATTTTTCCTCTGAAGTCATTTCCTAGATTCAGACACAAGTCAAATTTACATTGATAAAAAAAATCCCACCATTAAATGTGACCCATCATATCAAAATGAGGATTAAGTCAAATTTGGTCAAAATTACCTAATTACATTTTCAGATCCCTGGCTTTAAAAGCTACATTTTTAAAACCTGGRTCATTCTGATGTCATCAGTTTATCCAGAAATATGACCTAATTTATCTTGTTGGTTACGAGAATACATTACTGTTTGGTCTGAATTATAATTTTATGTAAATTTGAGCCTTTTTTAAGTCAATACAAAGAGGGAACCTCAAATAGTATTTATATATTAAGATTTCCCAGTTGGAAAGAAAAAAAAATCATTGCTAGCTCACAAAATCAGGTTTTTTGTTGCTACTGCTAAAAAAATGCTTCGAAAATTTCTTTTAGGATCATATTTCAAACAACTCATTTAAATGATGCGTTTTATAATAAGGCATCAATTCATTACATTTTGACAAAAATGCAATTTTTGCACACGTTTAAATCAAAACCATATATCTGCCTATTTCTCCACATTCAAACTTTTTGTTTTTTTCATTTAAACCTTTATTTATACAGGTAGTCTCATTGAGGTTCAGAATCTCATTTCCAAAAGAGACCTGTTTTAAATAAAAATTTACTACTTAATCCCCGTTTCGATGTTATGGGTCACAAATTAGAATTACCCAAGAGAATATTTCATCTCACCTTTCTCCAGTCTTTAAAGAAGTTTTTACGAAAGATGTCTTTTGTGGTGTATTCGTGATCCAACATTTTGGCAAAGAACGTGGCCACCTCTTCTGCTTCTGGGCTGAGCTTCATGGGCTTACCTGTGGTGTGCAGAAACAGTCTCATTCACAGCTGCACTCACTGGATTACAAATGAATTGAAARAGAAACGTCTTGTGTTCACTGCAGTCTTACCATCATAATAAAACTTTACGTTGCTAGGAAGAGGTTCATACGGTGGAGCAAATACTGGCCCTTTGTGTTCAAGAAATTTCCATTTAACACCATCTGTGTATCGCTCTTCTTCCCACCTGAGGTCAAAGATATTTGTTCGGGCTTTAATAAAACCATCTGAATGCGTCTTTTCTGTCCGCATACGGATAACAATGAAGGTATGACACAGCTAGCTGACATGAGCTCACCATTTCCACTTCTCCTCTGATTCTTGCTTTGCTTTCTTTTTCCCATCAGCTGCTTCTCCTTTTTTGCCTTTTGTTTTTTTGGGTTTAATGTCCTAAAATGAGGAAGAGAAAGTATTAATGTCCCCCTCTGAAGATGAGAAAGAAATAATAATCTGTAATAGTACTCAGGCGCTGCTTGAAGTATTYACCTCATCTTCCTGTTTCCTTTTCTTGGTTTTCTTATCATTTTCAATCTTTATCTTCTTTGGCTTGAATTCAGAGCTGAAATAAACACACCCAGTGTTATAAAGCCGACAGACCCAACGATTGTAACCCTACAAGGTGGAATCAAATCTAACGAGAACACCCACTTACTTATAGTCATCATCTCTCTCTCTCTTTAGAGACTTCTCATATTTAGGTGAGTGGTACAGGTCATCCTCTGGCTCAGACTTCACATGTGGGCTGCCAAAAATAAACAAAGTCAAAAGTCTTAACCTTCATTCAGAAACATTTGATAAATTTTTGATACAGAGCTTAAGATAAATGTAATGTCTTGACAAACCTGGCAAAGCCGTTCTCTTTTTCTTTTTTGACTTTACCGTCAAGGGACTTTATCTGAAATTAAAACAAAACTCTTAAATCAAAAAGACATGACCTAATTTGATAAACGAGGCTTTTACAGTTCTTAAACCAAAGTCAGTTTCAGTACACAACTTTGATGGTGAAACCTTTAAACTAAAACGTGAGCTGAGAAAATCAGTAAAAATATTGGTCATTTCAGACACTGCAGTATCTAAACGACCACTGTTAGTTTTGATGATTAYTTTTCTTCACGGCTGAACAAAATGCTCTTCAGACCAGTTTCATTTTCAGGTCCGACTGCATTTTCCTACATTTGAAGAAAACAGTAAACCATTTTTTTTGTGTATTTTACTTAAAAACAAGCACAACACTGAGGCTTTGTCAGAATAAAATGTAAAAATAAAATCCTCAACATAGCTCACACATCCTAAATATAATACACACAAAAGCACCATTTTACATACAAGTTGTTTACCTTTTCTTCTTTTCTCTTTTCTTTGTGCTTGTCCTTGAATTTGTCTGTGCTGCCATCTTTGTGCTTCATCTTTTCTTTGTCCTTGTGTTTTTTGTTAGCGAAGTCCTTGTAATCACTACATTTTGAGACATTAACTATTAGTTTAGGTTGTGTAACACAAAGTCTCGTCCTGATGTTAAAAACTGAGCAATTTGTTCTGTACCTGTTGCCATGCTTAGATTTCTCCCGTTCCTTATCCTTTTTGTGTTCCTTATGTTTGTGTTCCTTCTCTTTGTATTTGTCTTTATGCTTATGAGAGTCTACAAAAAGAAAAATAGGTCATCTTTACATGTAAACAACACAAAGTCAATTGCCACGTGAAAACAGAAGTGTAGCTTCACAAACAGCAAAGAAACATTGAGTTTATAAAACTTTGAGTGTTGCCCCACATTGTTTTAATGAAAACCAAGACTAAAAACTTACTTTTCAATAAGCATTAAGTGCAGCCACCCCCTCTTCTTTTAAACATACTTTAGGATATGAATTTCTTAGAAAAGGACAATCAGAAGCAAAACAACCAAAGATAAACATCAAGCCTGTATGTGCTGAAAAGCACAAAACCTAACTTGTCAAAACAGGCCATGTGCCAAACATCCAGTCTGTGAGACGACTGAGGACACTTAAGACACTTACGTTAACCTGAGATCAATTTTTACACTTCTGTCCATCATTTTCATTATGTGTAAAACTCTAAAGGTAACGCAAACAGACTGTACATGAACATGTGTAAAAGAAATTTGTACTTTGATGCAGTTTCTCCTTATACAGCAGCGCAGCACCCCCTACTGCCTGAATCAAGCAGTTTTATACAAAATTCATCAGACAAGCTGAAACATGCAACACTCCTGTCCAATGCGCAAAATTTGCAAGAAAATGTAACTTCCAATTTACACAGGATCTCAAACCACTTCCAGACAATATTTTAACAGTTTTAAAAAATGTGCTTGATGGTCTCTTAAAGTGTAACAGGTCAAAGCAAACAGATAAATATGAGGCTGAAAACTTTGATCAACGACCAATCAATTCTCAGAAAAGCAGATCAAAATACGGCAGATATTGGTTAGTATAAATTTAATTAAGCTGATTTCAATCTTAAGGCCCCTGTCACACAATGATGTTTAAGAGAACTTCAGGAATTTTTATTGTCTACATTACTAATAGTTATCAATCTGATCATTTTGTTAGYGTTACAGTATGTTCATGCCTAAAAGAGGATTCCAATAGACTTTTTAAATTCCWCCTTCAACACAGATTCCTTTAAGGTTTTTATAAGTTGTTTAAAATGCTACAGGGTGACAGGGTCTTTAGTGTTCAAACTTAAAAGACACCAGATTTCATTTATATGAATAATTACAATTGAAGTGTATGCTGGACTAACATTAAAATACTTTGTCCAGCATTTACACATCTCAAAGACCAGGAAACAAGCTCCAAAAGGACAAACTGTGTTTTTATTCGGCTTAATTAAAACTTCAAAAGTAACCCAATAATATCTTTATGGGACTGAACTATTTCAGATTAGGCGTTAACCGTGAATCACTACAAGAGCTATCAAGAAAACACTTTATCCAAATTAAAATTACATTTTTTGGTTATTAGTACACAAATTTGAATCGTATTTTACATTGTGGATACAAATAAAGTGTTTTTAAAATAACCATGTTTTTGACAGGTTTTCAACAAACTCCCCATGTCAAATTTCTGTACTTTTAATTTTGATATATCTTGATAATTTACTAACATTTCTGCTTTTAAAGTACAAACACTTTTGTAAAAGCAAAATACTCAAACACTGTTGACCTATATTAAGTTAATAATTATAAACACACACACAAAAAACAAACATAAGAACCCTTTGGGGAAAAATTAAATAAACATTTGTGCAGATTTAGCTACACTGCACTCTACTATGTAATTAGTGCAGATTAATCTTTTTTAATCATAAAACTGATTTAATAACTTTATATCTATTTTAATAATATCACTGGGTTCRATTTTGTTTTACAATTGAGCATGACGTATGGACTGTAAAACCTTCATGTCATTCAGAGTAAATTAGAAAACCTTTTATGTGTGTCTTGGGCTAACTTGCAAACTGTATGTGTGGAATATAGTACATATTTTGCACACACATATACATGTACATGTACATATACACACACAAGTGTGCACAAGTTGCGGCTTATTATCCAATCTAAACAACATGCCATCATATAGACTAGATGCAGACTGAAAGTTACATCTTGTCTTTAATGCACAACTTTGAGGATGCATGTGTCTGTGATTTTAAATCAGCTGCTAAAGTTCAACTTCATCACCCGCAGGTGMAACGTGAAAAACAGGCAATAATGTATTTTATCTGTGTCTGTGTGTTTGTTTTCCTACATGTCCAAAAAGCACCACCACCCCCAAATTTAAAAGAAACTTTTTTTTTCTTGTATCAAAACAAGAAACAGGGTAAATTTAGTTATTTCTATTACCTACTGTTTCATACTTAAAGGCTGGAAAAACACAAAAATCAGATTTCACACTTATTTACACTTTACAGCTGCATAACTCCACATTGTAACAACTGCCACATAAACAGTACAGTGTTATGAGTTGTTGGGATGTTTAAATTGCTCAGCTAATTTATTGAATGAGTTAAAACTATCCTCTCTTCCTTGAACAACTCTGCACATTTTGTAGCGATTAAAAGAAACATCTAAACGGCAGTAAAACAATAATCTTAAGTCACCGTTATAACAAGAAGCCTTATCATTTCTCCTCCCTAAAGCCATCTCCACCTCACAGCCCGGGTTCAGCTTGCAGCAGTCAGGCCGCTACACCGAAAAATAAAATGGCGCAGAGACTAAGTCCTCAACCCCCAAACCCTCACTTTCAGCTGGGAAATGCGCCATTAAAAGACAACTAACAAGAACTCCGATCGCCATAGATGGATAAAACACCTCGAGTTGTGTCCAATTATGGATTTAAATTGGCAAAATATGAAACGGAAATGCTTTTACAGGGGTTTGCTTTTGAACAATAGGCGCTTGTGAGAGAGACAGAGGACTTAGTCTCTGGACGCCATTTCTGTTCTCCACTAAAAACTAACAACGTTGCAGTGAAAACATAACATTTTGAGGAAAATGTCGGTTTTAATTTGTAATACGGGGTGATAACTTACCATTGACTCGAGAGCCACAGTCAATCTGGGAAGATAAAAAACACGAGTGTTAGATTTTGCACAAGGTTGGCTAGCTAGCCGGCTACCCAACTTTGAACTTGCTCAGTGGCGAGTTTGCTCTCCTGCTAGCTTAGCTAGCCTGCTTCGGAAGCCGCTAGGGCTAACACGGTTTGAGCTAATGAAGCGTTTCTTCCACTGTCTTTTTTATCTTTTATAGGTGGMAAACCGCTAACAAGGGAGCAATCGATTCAAACATCCTCACAAATATGTGACAAAACTTGTCAAGACGGTGCTAACAAAGAAATGACGTGGTTTACACACAGCCGGCTAACTGTGCTATCAGGTACTGTTAGCCGAGTTAGCCTGTCAAACCAACAAGGCACTCCATACAAGACATGGCATTACAAATGGACTATAATTTACCTGGTCCTCGTTGTGGGAATGRTCCCCACTCATTTCTTAAGCCTTGGTTGAATCTAAAAAATACAAATAAAAAAAGGTGAGTAACAAGTTAGTTACTACACACGAGCGCGTAGATGCAGGCAGGCAGAATGAAGAAAAGGAACCGTTGTGTAAGAGTTTAAGTGCCGATTGTACACCAGTGCGCATGCGTAGGAATTTAAATGGTTAAAAAGGCCTGTAAGCTCCTCCCCCTTACAAAACGTGTTGCGAGTGAGCTTCACATGTGTCAGAACACACCAGGTTCTGAACTGGATGTTCCTACAAACACATAAACACATAGTATCACGCTTAAATAAAAACAAAGACAAACATTAAACTCTATTATATCACATCTTGTCCTTTTTGATACGTCGTTTAATGACAGAAGGCTTTAAGGCCTCTAGTTTGACTCATTCAAAACAAATGACATATTATCAAAAGACATTTATAAAGGCTGATTTCTTGAAAAGAACTTTAAATTCAGTGAAACGTGGTGCTGTTTCAAAGCAGCATCAGCTCCTTACAGACCCCGTTTATCAGAAATGCTTGTTTTGCCCTCTTTCAGACATTAACTTAAAGTGTTACTCTGACATTTTTGAACTAAAAATCAGTTATATTGTTATATTTCAGAAACATTACATGTAATATTGTGGTTATTGTCAGTTAGAAAAGTAAACAAACTCATCAACTGTAAAACTTGGTTAATTACATGAAACAGTACTCGAATTGGCTTTTCTTCAGTTTAATTCTACAATTGCTGTAAACAACTGCATCAATACATTATCCATTCTTGTCTGATCAATACCAACATAGAATTATAACAGCATTGACTTTAAATTACCATGATATGAAGACAAGCTGACAGAGAGGAACAACTCTGCAGAGGTATGTTGTTGTTAGTTAATTCTCAGTGGTGACCTTATAAGCGTCTTTGCAAAAAAAAAAAAAAAAGGAAAAAGTTGATCACGTCTTTATTGTAAAATAACACGTTTCAAAACAATAGAAGTTAAATTTTGTTTGGATTGTTTTTATTTGATCATATGATTTATTTTGTTTGGATTTGTTGAGCTCGTTGAGAGGAAAGTATTGTAAAATTATCTGTCAGTATCCGTCTCAGGTACGGCTTCAGAGAATATTAAAAATATATACATGGTATAAACAGTGAGTCTTTCCATRCCAAAGTTTAGGATATATACGTAACATATTCATTACTTAGTGTGAATGTCACTTTATTGGGTCATGAGTGCTGGAAATGTATGCATTTGACAGCTCTCTACACTCTGCTTTTATTTTTTATTCATAGCTTTGTATTGTTTCCTTTCTCCCCAACATGAGGCATCCTTGTTCATCCGTAGGTTTCCTGTGACTTCACAACACTGGCCTCCCTAAGTTGAGGGGTTCATTAAATCAAAAAAGCAGATCTAGGATGTTAAGATCTTCTTGAATCATTGGCGGATCTAGGATTTTTCTGAGTAAGGGACCATCAAGGGGCCACAATAATCATAGAGGGGCCAAATATTTGTTAAACATCCTTGCACATAAATCCTAAATTTTTGTAAGCTGTATAAAATTAACCAGTCACATATGATCCAACAATTGTATCGTAATGTAATGTTATTAAAAAAGCTTTAATTCGCCATATCAGTGTTACATACATTTTTACTGTACATGGAAAAAAATATTCTCAAAGCATGAGAGAAAATGAAGCCATTATTTGCTAACCGAAAGATATTTTTTTGTAGGGCTGTCAAATTATTAATACTTTAAATCTGATTAATCCCAAAGTACCTGTGAATTAATCGTGATTAATCTTAAATTTAATATACTTATATTTCTATTGCATATTGATAAAATAAATTACTTGAGTTATTGATTAGTTTTTAATGTTTTTATTTAGAAAAAAAATTGATGTTTAGACATGACTTTTTGAATATAAAACAGGACCTAAAAAATGCTCCAAACATAAATTTGAGTCGGTTAAATTTTGTGCAGAATAATGGTTAATTCAAGAATTCAAGGATTTTCATTCAAATGAGTACTACACGAGGGATGAAAGATAGAATCTAAGGTCACAGTTGTCAGCAAAATATAAATAAATAAAATAAAATAAAATAAAATAAGCCATAAGAAAACAAAAA